GATCGACACGGGCAGTCCGGAGGTCGCCCAGGATGCCTCGGCCTCGATCCGCTTGGCAAGAGATGTTAGAATTGTAAGAATGCGGCATGCCCTTCCAGTCACGAGTCAGGTTTACAAAACCGCGCTGAAGTGCGGCTGTCCTATCCGCCATGCTGCGTCTGGACCGATGGGATCTGCGAAGCTTTGGCAATTTTGATGGTATTCCTTGTGCTTGGGACAGCGTCGCGAGAAGTGGGAAGCAAAAGCCGCCGGCCGGCAACACGCTCCAGCTGTCCCAATACTCCGGGTGTGCTTGCTTCGGGCGAGGATGCCGTGTCAAAACGAGTTCTACGACCCTTAGGAATCCTACAGACTGCTCGCAGGATACGACAGGCCAACTGTCGTGCGGCTGGCGGTCCGCAGGCCCTACGATTTCTCTGTGCTCTACCAGGCCCGAACAGGAAGTTTAGGTGTAAAGGTCCGGGATTGGAAGTTCAGATGCACCGGCTACACGAGGGGCAATACTATTCTGGATGTTGCGTGGGACATAAGTTTCTCACCGCAGACGGAAGCAGCGTTGCTTAAATTCCGCTTCTGCAGTGTCCAGCTTCACGCGACGCTAGAGCAGTAAGCTTACAAATTGGCATCGGAACATCAGTAGGCTGGGCTAAACTGTGCATTTATCCCCGCAGGCACTTCTGCGCCGGGCTTGTGTCAGCGAGAGCTTCGCGAGACCCTCAGTTGTCAGCATCAGGTTGCGCAAAGTAGCACAGCACTGCTGCCACTGCCAGGGTCTCCATTTTTGTTTCTGTGGGCTAGGCATCTGCTTCCTCAGGGGTTTTAAAGTGGGTGTAGCGGTTTCTCGCACCTGACTGGAGGGCCTCGGATTCCCGAAACCAGATCCGCGGCTTTGAACTGACCAGATTCGAGCGACTTTCGGCACATCGGCGGATGTGAATCCAGCAGCCGCAGCCTTGGACGAAGCACACCTTGGAATGTCTGGTGTTGGCGGAGTGATGCTTTTTGCACGGCTAGTGCAGTCAGACTGCGTTTACCATGACAGAGTAGGGTCGGTTATGGCATCAACTCAAACATGAAGAAGGCTCCAGGTTCATGATTTGCCCCAGAACTGGGTGCTGTCATCTTCTGCCCTGTCAACGTATGAGCCGTCCATGCCTGCTTCACACACTTCCTGTTCACCACCGCGTGCCAGCTCCAGCGTAGATGTGTTCAACACTTCTTCGTGCTTCGAGGTGATAGAGGGCGTCCGGCTCGTACACATCGATGACTTAAAACCTCACGAGGAGGCGGGGATGTCCCCGGGCTCCTAGCTTGTCTCTTGTGGGCAACTCCCACCACGCAGTGTTGACCCCAAAAGGATGCTAGATCTGTAAGCTTTTCGGGAACATTGAAAGCCCTAGGTTTGGAGTACCATACTGTAGTACTTGTTTTTGGATTTGTTCCTTAAAGGAATTATGAAATCAAAATCTATACTTCTCCCCTGGTTGCTTCAAAGTCTAGAGGCTCGCAGACGCAAGTGCTGGCCATGTTCTCCCTGGTGAGTTCTCGCGCAACGAATCCTGCGAGGTCCTGAAGGATCGAGCTACAAAGCTGCAGGACTACGTGCGAGACCTGCCTGCCGCTGCCTCAGTGTCTGTATGCCTTGCTTCTGGCACAGTAAGGGATGCGGACAGATTCTGGAAGCGCGACGCTCCTAGTCTGTGCTTGCGCGGCTGCAGAGAGTTCACGAGCGCTGCATTCCGCCTTTTCTGTCCTTGCACCAACCTAGTTTGCAGGAGTTCGCCGTCCGCGACCCAAAAAACATGCAAGATGCACTCGAGGTCAAGATTCTTCCCGCCATCATTGTGGATTCGCAGTACGATGCCAGCCCCCAGAATCAATGCTTGAAAGGCATCCACGCCACTAAACATGTAGCTGAGGTTGTGATCGATGGGCACCACCGCCTGGAGCTGTTTAAAGCCGCGGGCATGACGATCGTGTTGGGTGCTTAGCCTCGCCTAGCTTGCACGAGCTGCGACAGCAAGACAATCCAGAGCTCAGAGATGAAAAGGGTGAGCAAATGGGGGCGGCTTTAAGGCCAGCCGTGTCCGTCAATTACGAGCATCCGGATATCTTGGTAAATCCTCCTGGCCTGCGTCGGGAACCCGGAGATGATTCGTTGGTGCCGCTTTTGTTCAACACCTTCGCAGGAATCCACGTTTGGAAGCTTCGGAACCTGTGCCCTGTCACCACGCTGCTTTACATGCTCACTCTAACCACCAGTCCTGCCGACTGTCCCTAGATCTTTTGAGTGTACGAGGACGCAGAGTCCTACCCTGAACCTTGCATCCGAAGACTGCGACTATCTGTCAAGCTGACATCATTGCCTGTGCAGACATATATACAGCTTTTACATATATATATATGTATATATATATATATGTATATGTGTATATATATATATATACGTATATATATATATATAGAGAGAGAGAGAGTTTTATATGCTTGTTTATGTTGTATGCACATATACATACATGATAAACATGTCCTTTCATATGTATATATACATACATACATATATATATACATATACATATGTATATGAAACACTTTACTGGCAGTAGTGCCAAGAACAATCGTAGTCGTAACATGACGATTTCAAGGGTAAGCCGAAAGTCGGTAATATAGCTACCTGATTAGTAACCCCATCCCTTCGGGAAGACGGACCGGCGGTTCTAGTCCGTATGTACAAGTCAGCCTTACTAGTCAGTGGTCTAAGCTTAGCCTCATTCAGCCCAAGACCCTAAGACCCTTATATAATCCTCAGAAGAGCCCCATTAAAAAAGAGAAAAAATACACATCAACCCCTATACAACCCCGATCTTCCGTCTTGCGGCAGCTAGGTCCCGACATTTGCAAGGAGCAGGTGATCAGCAGCGCCATGAAGGGACCGGGGGCATGTCGCACACAGCACCTACATTTATAGGATTTCCGAAGAGACATGGTGCTGGTCTAAAGGGTTCGTTGTAGGGGTTTGGACAACAGTCCTTGTCGTGCTGCTCAGGAGTTGAATCGGCTTAGCTGGTAGTTCGCCCTGTGTTTGTTATCAGGCTTGGGGGGGCAAGGGGACAAGGGTGGCTATTCAGAAGTCAGGACGCACCCTCGAGCCAAAGACGACGCAGCACCTGGTACGTCGGGATGCTTAGGCGGACTGCTCCCCAAGAGCACGATATGTTTGAGACCCAAAGATCCCAAAGGCGCACGCAGCCCCCGGTGCAGTAGTGAAGCCTCCGGGCAACGGTCGCCAGGTGTGAAAGATACATGAAGAGAAGTCAGGAGCTACAGCTCCGTCCACAACATCTTGAAAGAACAAACTTGCCGAGGTTCTCGAGGGGGCGCACTCCTTCCCATAATCGTGGGTGCCCCAGCTGTCTCGGCATTTCAACATGACGACAGGCATGGTCGGGAGCTGCAGGATCAGGACTTTCGGAAACATGTGGACGTTGCATAGGAGACTCAGTACCTGTTAATTATTCGTACTAATTGCGCCATCAGCCCTCCTCACGGCTCGCTCATCTCATCTTGCATGTGAAACAGGGCACAAAGCAATCGCTTCAAAGGTTGTTCGCTGGTTCACTGCATGCTGATATGCTACATGGAGTATTGGGTAATCGCTTCAGTTTTGCCTATGTTCCCTGATAATACCGATCGCCCCCGAAGAAATCTTCAACAGGTAAATGTCTCTCTGGCAAAGCAAAGCGAAACAGGGTTCGGGTCAAGATCTGCTGGCAAGTAAGGTGCTCGCGCCACAGATTGCCGAAGTTGTTCACCATTGAGGCCTACACCATGCAGAAGCGACACCACTGTGGTATTTCCAGAACCTGTCATAGGATTGTATAGGCAGTCACGCTTGAAGGACTTCTGGTGACTGTCAAAGCTTCTCAGCATTGATGTCGAAGCTCTTCAATGCTTACATGAAACGGCAATCAGGCTTGACGCTGAAGGTCACCTTGGAACTGCCAGTATTCACTCAACAGTATGGTTTGCCATGCACGGAGTCTCGGTTTGAGCGCGGGCAGCCGGATTTAAGCCTAGCAGGCCGTCCGATCAGAGAAGATTCCAGCTCTGGTTCAGAATGGTGGGGTTATTTTGCAGGAGCTTTCGCACCATAGCATATACTAGGGCGCAGCTGATACTGCTGAATGTACTAGTAGCATTCCTCATAAAGTTGCCTGCCATCATTGCTTCATTGCCACAGGTCTCCGGCGCAGGCAAGAAGCCGGCTGCTGTTGAGGTCAGAGATGCGAAAGTTTCACATGGGGCCTTCAGTTCACAAATGCCTGAAACTGTGGATGCACAGAATCCGAGAACATACCCTAATTGTAATTCTGTCTGCCGGCAACATCTTATCGAGGCTGCGACATCTTAGCGTTTCGCCGGACAGGCAATCGTTCTCTACTGATCACCCCTACTACTTGATACGGCTCACTTGCGCGATCTCGGCTGCTATTCAAATCAGCCCAATCGACATGGTCTAAAACTATCGCCAAAGTTACCGGCACCAGCAGGCTCGAAATGAAGGCCACATGTCTCTTGTGTGGGCCAGGCCCATGTTCGAGAGCTGAGGTCTGGCTAGTGGAAATAGGCTTGTGATTGCGTGTGACATGGTGTGCAGAGCTTTCAGGGGCCTTGATACCTGTGCAGTTTCTCACGACTGAACCCACGCTGCACGCTTCGACGAGAGCTTGACACTCTGAGGGCTGCAGAGCGGAGAACATCACTGCATCCACCCACAACCGGCTGACACTGTGCAGCGCATCGTTCATCGTATGAAGGTTTGGTGAGAGCAATGCTGCAAATAGCATGTCTACCCACTAGTACCAGAGACAAGCACTTGAAGTATGGCAGCCGGCACCGATGTCATCGCTAACCACTGACGAGTAACACCAATCCTTGGAGTCTCGGTAGCCACCTTGGAACTGCAGCGACCGCGTCCCTGGGCCTCATGGCAGCTCCTCATGGCCGCCAAGCGGAAACTCAGCAGAGGAGGCTTCAAGTACAGCACGTGTCCTGTCCCTTCGATGTGGCAATGAACATCATCAATCGGAATGGCGCTTCCGGGCACATGATACTGTATGCAGAGCAGGAGTGAGAGCACTTCTGACAAAGCATTGAGATGGAAGCCACAAGGCGTAGGTATTTTGTTGGACCCAAATCCCGAAGCCCCAATCCGATCCATCCCTTTGCCAGTCCTGAGCTGCTGTTCACTGCGATGGGCGATCGGGTTGCTGGCGGCTGGCAGCTTCTGGCCCCTTGCATGGCATGGTCATCACTGGAGTATCGCCGGATCGTTGCATTCGCCATTGTAGCCCCCAGAGATGTTTCGGCAAGTGTGCACGTCCGGACTTTCAAAGTGCAGAGAAGTCAGTGAAAAGTGCAAACTCTACCAGCTCGATGTCAAGCTTCGACTTATCTTCCTGTCAGGAATGATTGGAGAACCCAGCTGCCCGTTGCGCTTTGTGCTCCAATTTCTGGCTCAGGATGATGGTCTGGATTTCGATGCACTGGAGACTGCTGCTGGACTTCAAGTGATGGTTCTGCGCGGAAGGTTTGTCGACTCAGTCGACTCGAGGCCAGTAGTCAGTAGATTGCTCAGTAAGTAGACCGTTATGGGCCCGAGGTTCCCGGTAGGATCGACACAACGCGTCATGACGGTCACCAGACATCGCAAAACCCGCGAGATTTCTCGACACTGCAGCTGCACTGCGCCAGACCGATACCAGTAGCACTGACGCCGTGGTGTGGCGAGCCTCTCTCGAGTCAAGGTTCAGTGGCACGCCGTCTCAGAGCTCCGAGCCCGAGGAGAAGATCCAAGAGGCCAGAGAGACAAGAAGCTATCTCAGTTGACAAGGGTCTTGCCTAAGCCAAGCGACCTTGCTTCAAGCTGCGAGGCCTCGGAGCCAGCTGCTGCACGCAGTCACCTACGCCAGGTGCCCGGCCCAGATACACTGGCTGAAGCTGCTCGTCCACAGCCCTCTAGTTGTTCATTGTTTTGTGCGAGCTTTCTCTCCTCCTGTTCGCGCCGCCCTCGCAGGCGCCGGAGGCTGTGGCGGAGACTCGCAGCGTCCAAGACACACATCTGCCTGCCTCGAGTCCGAAGCTGCCTCGGCACGGCAAAGGCACTCATGACTCATTCCGGCACAGCAACAGACCTGTCTACCACAAATGCTCAGATTTTCACTCTTGGCACGGAAAGGCAGCAGAGTCAAAGACGGAGGCACAGAGCTGAAAGGAGGCACTTGCCCGCAGAAGCCTCGCTCCGTCCCCGGCATGTGCTAGCTCGGGCTCTCCGGAACTTGCATGTGTAGCTGCATGGGCCAGGTCGACCACGGCAGCATGTGACGCATCTGAAACATCGTCAAATTTTCACACTCGAGGCCGCAAAGAAAAGTGGGGCGAGGTCGTGAAAGAAGTGGATCCCTCGGACGATTGCGTCTCTGCCACGCAGAACGTCATGGATAATTCCTGCCTCGATGCAGTTCGACAACGCTTAAGACCCGCGTGTCCATGATGAACTCTTGTCCGTGGCATGGAAAGATCAGGACATGAAGATCATCAAGGCCGGCTCTTCGACGGTGGCCAAAGCCTGCTACCGGGCAGGGGATGCCTTGGTCTTTGACCTACGGCTGCAAGAGGCGGGAGGGCACTTCAACATGGCACGGCTTCACGGTGTTAACATGAAGCACTGGGATAGCCCTGTCATTCAGACGCATGTCATGTCTCTTTAGTCTTGTATAAGGGCTGGTCCTTTGAAAGAGTAGCACTACTTCTTGCAAACCCGTGTCAGCGGAACCAGATGTAATGTTCGGGTGGCATATCATATCATCGTCAACTATCGTCCAAAGCGTGTAACTTGTAACCTCATATCATCCAGCTCCAGGTGAAGCGGACAGCAGGCTACGCCTACGAGATGCCGCGGGCTCGGACCGGAAAAGGGCCCACCCAGCACCTCCATCTGAGCGCAAGTGACCCAAGGCCGCTTGCAGATGCACTTAGATTGCTGGCTTGTGGTTCTGCAGCAGGACAGCAGTCTCTCTCACACACACAGACACATTATGGGATAAACGAGCTTCTGAGATTTCGAGTCATAAACCTGGCAAGAAGGCCTTTTCCGGATTACATCGCGGCCGACGAACCTGGCCAGCCTGGATTTGAGAGGCTGTCCCCCAAATATAAACATACCACTAATAATAATGATAATAATACTAATAATAGTACTCAAAAAATATTAATATTGTTAATAATAAGTCTTGTTAGTGTATTACTGTTATGATTAGTTGCATTACTACCATTAATCTTGGTGCTACTATCGGCCAATCTTGGTTGCTGGTGATGCGGCTGTGACATTTGCATCCGGCTACCTCAGACTCGTACCAAGCATACTGCAAGATGCTGCGAAGGGGAGTTGGAAAACAAGCCCTGCATGTTGCAGGACGTATAGAATCCTCATGCATGAATGCAAGCGTATGCTGCTACACACTTTCTCTGTCAGGCGTTCCACTCTCCAGTTGTCTGCGGCTTAGAGTGGCTTTCACACATCACCTGGAGTCAAGTTTAGTCCAGGAGTTTGCAGGAATTGATTGAAGGGCCGGGCTTGACACTGTCTTTGGTCTTGCACGACTGGCCGGTTGCCTTACTAGTAACAGTTTAAGTGCATAAGAAACGCCCCATCAGCGTAGGGGAGATTGCTCGAGCGCTGTGTCCTAAACCCTGAAACCCTGTCTCAGGCTCAACACTCAATGGCCAAGGGATTGAGCCCTGCAGAAAGCAACCGCACATGGTGTTTGTATCACAAGGCTTTGTCATGTTCATCTGCGTCTGGAACAACGGTTCACCTCTGTAGTCGTAGTCTCGTTTGCCATTGGTCTTGCTCCTTGTCCTGTTTTTTGGAGGAACCCGGTGAAAAACGGAACCCAGGTTGGCGGTCCATCGAGGTCATGTGGTGGTGCTTGGCCCCGCTCACACAGACCTGGCCACGGGCTGAACGTTTTAAAGCTTTCATGGCCTTCCTTGGCTGCGGCTTGCATGCTTGCTGTGCAGTTGGACAGGGGGTTCGAGAGTTGTGCTTCTGGGCTCGGGCTTATCTAGTGTCTCTGCGGCCTCGTCAGAAGAGTCTCTGAATCGGTTCAAAAGCCAATTTACTAGGTTTCCGTCCGCATGTATCTACTGCATTCTCTTGCTGATTATAGAGCTCAGTCTTCAGTGACTGGGTTTGGTTTGGCATTTTGTGTAGACTAGACTACATCCAGCTTTTGGAGATCCGGTTTAATGTTGACAAAATGAGAGAGTGCCCCCCAGGAACAGATCCAAACTGTGGGCGACGGTGCCTTCGTCCACTGGCGCGAGCCACTCTCAGAGGCAGCTCAAACAGCCGGGAGGAGCCCTCAACCCCCAAAACCCCGAAGCCGTTGGGGCACGCGTTTTCCTGGAATGGCTTGTGCTAAGAGGAAGCAGGGGTAGAGTATCGTGTGCGAGACCGGCAGCTTGTGCGTGTGAGCCCTCTCCAGGGACCTTTTGGCACCAGCAAGCTGCGCTTCTCCACGCCCGACAACGTAGATCTGTGCCTGAGCTTCGAACGGATCTGACCATTTTCGCTGCAGGAAGCGAGACTCATGCTAAATTTGGGCCCCGAGCCAGTTCGTGGGCCCAGAGATCTTGGGAGAGTGTCGTAAGCTGACAGGCTGCATAAGAGAAGCTGATTGGAGATCTTGCAGAGCAGCCTCAGGAAAGAGATCTCGCAGTTGCGGGCCGTAGTTTTTCCATTCTCCCCACGGATGGGCTTCGTGGAGTTCCTGCACAAGCCCAACAAGAAGCTCAGCTAGATACAGAACTGGTCAGCCAAGCATCTTTCATGATTTTGCAGTCGAACAGACGAGTCCACTGAAGAGAGTGAAGACACGCTGAAGTGGCATTAGACACGCTGTTTCCGCATGGGCAGACATGCAGCAGCGTCGGCAAACAGCCTGTTTTGTACCCAAGACTTTCCCGGATGATTCTGCTATGTATGCTCTGTAGTAGGTGCGTATGTGACATATATACATATATATATACACACATAACACTGTGTATGTATATAGGGTGTTATATATATATATAGAGAACTATCTATATATATATATATAGTTGGGTATAGTTAGTTGTATATATATATGCATGTGTGTGTATAAACATATATGTCTGTATGTTTTGTTTGCTTGTTTATTTACTCACCTGTATATTTGTTTGTGTATTCATAATATGTGTATGTGTACATATACATATACATATATATATATATATGCCTATTTATTTTTGGCTAGTTTATGTATTTATCTATCTTTTCAGTGATTTCTTCTCTCGATTGATTTATTATGTGTACCTTTACTACAGACGCAGATCGGGTCTTCGTTACGTAGTGTTAAGCATCGCCACATGAGTTGCAACCATGGGCTATAGCTACAAGCTTTACCATGCACGCACATGGGAAAGTTGGACATTGTGTCTTTTTAAGAAAACCCTAAACCCTAGGCAAGGCAGGCATCCCTGGTTTCACGCCGACTCGTACCTATGAACCTCGCCTGGCATGTCCGAGATGTGAGAGCCGAAACCCTAAACCCTAAACCCCTAAACCCTTCCAAAACTCCAGGCTCGGCTGGGGTGGCCTGCTGCGATCTTGTGAAGGCAGCGCTGGTTTCGCGAGGCTTCAGAGGTTTTGGGCTTCACTTGTGGGCAGGCCCTCTGAGGGCTTGGTCGCCTTAGGATTTCCGAGGCAAGAGCACCGAAACATGCATGTGTTCTGCAGAACCCTGCTCTACCTCTGCATGGAACGAATGTAATACTGCGTGCTGCTTGTGACGGTGACTGAGGAGAATAGCATGATTGGGAAGTGGGATTTCTGAATTCTATATTGCAAGCGGCATTCATCTTGACAAACCGACTTGCGCTTGCTATGTGGGTGGTGACTGACTCTCTGTCACCGCGTCCGATGTGGCCTGGCAATTACTGACTGCGTTGTCATTCTGGGACCGTCTCGGTCGAAGCGGCGCGCGAATTTGTCAGAAAACCCTAGAAGCCCTACCAGCCCTAATCAAACCCTAAGCCAGCCTACTTTGGCTGCAAAGTGGAGATTCTCTCGACTCCTCTCCGTCTTCTTGTACGGGTTCTTCTGTAGTGCTTATGGGTCTATGGTTAAGGGCTGACAGGGCTTATGGATTTTATAGGGCTTTGGGCTCGTGCAGTAGAACAGACAGAACTTGCTGGTCCCTCTAGGCATAAACCACAGTGGTGGTCCGCCGCGTGCGGAAGTGAAGGAAGCATTGCATAAACCGCAGGAACAGGTGTATGCTTGTAGTGGCTCATGCCGCAATATGAGAGTTTCAGGAAGTTAAGGAGCCTGAATTATTGCCAATATTATTCCTCTGGGTTCCTGTTACTATGTACATGCATAAAAATGAACCGAACGCCTATTGAAAATACTTGGGCCTTATATACACGGTAGATTCTTTGAGGGACCCTTCCGTTGAAGATGAAGACCCCACCTGCCTATCCGCTCTACAGGCCGATGTCCAGGGCGCTGAGATCGAGGTGGGTAGTTCTCTGAAGTAGGGTCCCTTTAAGGGTCCTCTTCATGAGGGTGTCATATTAAATTATAGCGTAAAAATCGGCCCAATTCAGAGAACTACCCAGGTTCTTCGAGGAGGACAAAGAACTCTGCGAAATGCGCGGCTGGTGCTCCTGGAGGCAACTTCGAAGAGGGACGGGCTAGAGGGCCAGGCCAAGATTTCAAAGATCTAGGATATAGAGAGTCTAGAGTTGAGAGTTTGAAATGCTGCTGCTGCCCTGCCCTTACATCATGTAACCGGCATTGCATCTTAAGGATGAGAGCGCGTTCTTCCAGAAATCCAAACCCTAAGCCTCCTCCTATTCAGGGGGATTTCTTGCTGCAGAGAAGGAGAAAAAGAGGCAAAACCAAAACAAGACTAAACAGCTAAGCCTGAAGCCCGCGGAGGACCCCTAAACCCCAAACCGTAAACCCTAAACCCCTAAACAGAATCGGGAACAAGATCAGCCACA